GAAAGAGTGGGTTTTTTTCAATATGGGGGCAGCCTGGGCAGAATGCAAGCTAATTTTGTTAATCTTGTAAAAAGTCCCAAAGTATCAAAAAGTAATAGTTGTGTTTGTGTCTATTTGCTTTCGTTATATAGCTACTACATCCACTTCAGATCCTCCAACATCTAGGAGTGATGAAATGAAGAGCCAAGGAAGTCAAACCGAGATTCTTAAATTTATTCCAAATATGGACACAATTTGCTATTCTTTTCTAACAAGCCTTCTTTTAATGAATAAACATCCAGTACTTATCACAGGTAACAAAAACTATCAACTTTTAAATACCCAGGAAATCTTGTAGTCTATCAATAGTGTTTAATTCCATATAATTCTAAAATAAGGCCTGTGTGGTCAGGTTTTTATTATTTTTGCAGTTATTTTTATTGATATGTGCTATTAAAAAAAACAACAAAGTCATAAACTCAAGTATAGTTTGACCAGGTACTGGCAATGGAGGATGACTTAATCGGCGACCTAATGATCGAAGGGAAGCTGGGAGACGGCGACCACGAGCTGATCATCTTCACCATCCTCCGTAAAGCTGGCAAGTCAGCAAAGCAGAAGTCCTCGACTTCAGGAAAGCTGACTTTTTGACAAGCTCAGGAGGCTTGTTGGTGAGGCCCTAAGGGACCACGACCCAAAGGGGAGGGGAATTCAGGAAGAGTGGTTGCTTCTCAAGGGAGCAATCCTGGAAGCTCAAGCAATATCTATCCCGTCTCAGAGGAAAGGCAGGGCACAGCAACCCCCTTGGCTCTGCAGGGAATTAGTGGACCTCCTGCATCTAAAAAGAAAGACCTATAAAGGATGGAAGACTGGATCCACCCCAAAGAAGGAGTATTCTGTACTGGTCCAGATTTGTAGGGAGCAAACCAGGAAAGCCAAGGCTGCGACTGAATTCCAACTGGCTACACATCTAAAGGACTTTTTATTGTCCTTGATATATGTGGGGAGCTGGAGGAAAAGCAAAGGTAACATCGGACCCCTGCTAAACCATATGGGTCAACTGACAACCGACACCCAGGAAAAAGGCAACCAGCTTAATGGGTATTTTGCATCGGTTTTTCACCAGCCCCAAGGGATGACCCTGCTCAATACGGTACAGGACAGCCAGGGTGAGGGAGAATGATTACCTTTCATCAATGTTGACCATGTGAAGGAACACCTTGAGAGGCTGGACACCTTCAAGTCAGCTGGCCCAGACAGCTTGCACCCCAGAGTACTTAAGGAGCTGGCAAGCGTCATAGCTCTGCCACTGGCACGGACCTTCGAGAACTTGTGGCACTCAGACAAAGTGCCCGAAGATTGAAAGAAGGCCAATGTGGTGCCTATCTTCAAGAAAGGGAGGAAAGTAGATCCAGGGAACTACAGGCCAATCAGCCTGACCTCTATCCTGGGGAAGATCTTGGAAAAAATTATCAGACACCATTCTTGACAAACTGGCTGAAGGCAACATCCTGAGGGATAGCCAGCACATGTTTGTTGCGGGTAGGTCTTGCCTGACCAATCTCATCTCCTACGACCAGGTGACATATCACCTGAACAAGGGAGAAGAGATTGACATCATATATCTTGATTTTTTTTTTTTTTTAACGGCTTTCCATCTGGTATCCTATGATCATTTTATAGAAAAACTGGCCAACTGTGGCCGCGGCTACATCAGTCTTCTGGCTGGGGAACTGGCTCCGAGGTCGGACCCAGAGAGGTAGTTGATGGAAGTCAATCATCGTGATGCACTGTGGCCAGTGGGGTCCCCCAAGGTTCTGTCCTTGGGCCTATTCTTTTCAACATCTTCATTAATGTTGTGGACATTGCCAAGTGGACTGGCCAAGTTCGCTGATGACACCAAACTTTGGGGTAAAGCGTCCACACCCGAGGACAGGATGGTGGTCCAGGCCAGCCTGGACAGGCTCAGAAAATGGGCAGACAAAAACCTGATGGCCTTCAACACTGAAAAATGGAAAGTACTCCACCTTGGGAAGAAAAACCCACAGCATGCTTATAGGTTTAGCAGTGCTACCCCAAAAGGGACTTGGGGGTCATGATTGACCACAAAATGAATATAAGCTACAAATGTGATGTTGCAGCCGGCAAAGCAAGCAAAGCTCTGGCTTGCATCCATAGATGCTTCTCTAGCAAATCCCAGGATGTCATCCTCCCACTGTACTTGGCCTTGGTGAGGCCGCAGCTGAAGTACTACATCCAGTTCTGGGCTCCACAATTTAAAAAGGATGTGGAGAAGCTTGTGAGAGTCCAGAGGAGAGCCACGCACATGATCAGAGGGCAGGAAAGCAGGCATTATGATGAGAGGCTGAGAGCTATGGGACTCTTCAGCCTGGAAAAGTGCAGGCTCGGGGGGAACCTGGTGGCTGCCTATAAGTATATAAGGAGTGTACATCAGGATCTGGGGGAACACCTGTTCACCAGAGCAGTCCATGGGATGACAAGTTTAAATGGTCACAAACTCCTCCAAGACCATTTCAGGCTGGACATAAGGAAGAACTTCTTTACTGTCTGAGCCCCCAAGGCCTGGAACAGACTACCACCACAGGTGGTGCAAGCACCTACTCTGGACTCCTTTAAGAGTCAATTGGACGTTTATCTTGCTGGGATTCTGTGACCCCAACTGACTTCCTGTCCCTGGGACAGGGGGCTGGACTCAATGATCTTCCAAGGTCCCTTCCAGCCCTAATGTCTTATGAAATAGTCATCATGTGAGCAGAATGTGTGTAATGTAAGTATATAATGCATGTATAGAATTCAGATATAGACATAGGAAAATCCCTGTTAGTTGATTCTGTTTTTAACATAGCGTTATTTGATGTATAAGTTTTGTATATTACTATTACATGCTTCTCTCCTTGTGGGGAAAAGCTAAGTATATACCAATAAATTATATATGCCCAATAAAGTACTGATGTGATGAGTCGGCCAGGATCACTCATATGTATGCTAAGTTGTAATTTACTATGCACAGTGTGCATCTATATATGTGCTTTACTGCAGAGTTGCCTAATTAGTTCTGTAGTATGTCTCGGCCGGCTGAAGCCAACTCGAGGTGATTTAGAAACTATTCGTTTACTGGGCGGGCTGGTGAATGGAGAGGTGGACAAAGCTTAGTGGTTGCAAAAACTTTACTTATGCTGCTTGTAGCCGCGACGCAGGTGGTCCGATCGCTTAAACAACTATGTGAGTTGCTCCAGCTGGCAAGGCTCAGGCCAGCGAATCCGTATTAAGCCGGCAGGGAAAGGGTACGTCGAGGATTACGCTCGGCGACGGGAAGAAGAATCGATAGGCGATCAGCCTATCGATCAGCTAAGCCGCAAGTCAGATATCTTTAGTACTCTGCGGCATGCTCAAAGTTCTCCGACTTGGGCGGAAGTTGCACGAAATTTTAAACGGCCAGCAAGCCAATTACTAACTGCCACGTAGGAATAATTTAGAACTAGCCAATAGTGGGACACAAATTTGCATACGAAATGGTGGGAACTCTCTTGCACCGGGGTTTTTCTGTTATAACAAAAACCTTTGCTGTGCAAGAGACTCTCAAGTGGTGGGAAAATTCCATCGTGCCGAGGCACCAAAATCACTGGGTTGTGCCAACGGCACAACTGGAATTTTAGACACATGAGCACGTTATAAAGAATTTTTGTTTCCAGATTTACTGACCTGGCGAAGCTTAAGCAACCAATATATATATATACACACACACGCACACACACACACACACACACACACACACACACAATTTTATAAACCGGTCTTTGAACAAACTACAAAATATAATAACTTGAACATGTAACAACAACTATTGATCATCGTCTGATCGGAGAACATCTGCTTGGGACTCCCCTCATTCATTAGTTAGTCCGTCTTCTCCTATAACAGACAGTGTCAATTAAAATTCTTAATTCAAATGAGAGAGAACAGTGTCATAGC